TGGTAAATGTCAGGTTACTATACCACTATAACCCGCACAAAATGTACAAGTCATTTTGTATTGCAAAGTGTGTTGTTGCATATGGTTTTAAATATGATTGTTTAATATCTATCTATCTATCTATCTATCTATCTATCTATCTATCATTCTCCATGTATCCTGGGGGTGGGGGCCAGCATGCTAGGAGTGAGGGGAACCATTAGGGCTGGGGAAGGTTGGGGGCTGAGAGTCAAGAGTGAGGAGAAATTGCAGGGCCGGGGGGTTGTGAGTCAGGAGTGAGGGGCTTCGCCATGACTGTCACTTGGGAGTAATGGAGGGCCATGTGTTGATATTGTTGTTAATGTTTTCCTGTCAATGTTGATCCCTGTCTTTAAAATGATGACTGTTGAGATGCTTTATCTTGTATTGTGTAATAAGTATTTGGGGGCCAAAGTATTTTACTGGGTTGAGACTGGTCATTGATGTTTATAAATTGGTCCTTGTACAGAAAAACTTGAGAACTATTAGACAAGATGATCTCTTGACATCTCATCCGGCCTTACTTCTCTATGAACTAAGATGAATGCATGCAGTGTAGCAGACTTACCTCTTGAGCTCTGGATAAGTCCTGGGCTTCACATTCTGTAATTCTGATTGGTGAAGCCCATCCACCAATCAGAACCAAGCCAGGGAAAACAGGGCTATGCCTTTTCTAGATGGGAGGGGGCAAGGAGTAGTCTGGACCTGGTTCAAGACTGTGGCCTGCCAGGTGCAGACAACTTTGCGGGTGGAGCCACTGAAGCGTATAAAAGGAAAGCATGCTCAGAACACTGGAGGGAGAGACACAGTGAGGGACAGCGAGGAGTGAGGAGCTCCAGAGATGACCATCTTTGGGACCCCGCTGGGGCCTCGATTGTGCATGGATCAGTACATGGTGACCTGGCCTTGGGAGAAGCTTGAGGCTGCTCGGGCCCCACACGATGTGCATGTTGATGCCTGGGGAGCTGACTCTGGGAGTAGATCGAGGCACAGATGGCACAGAGAGGGAGCACCAGGAGGAAGAAATGCCAGGTCCTCATAATTGGGGATTCCATCCTAAGGGGAATGGGGGGGGTCCCTTCTTTTGACCCAAACCCATGGCACACAAGGTCTGCTACATGCCTGGGGCTCAGATTCAGGATATCACAGAGGATCCTGGCCCACATTTGACCCAAGGACCAGTAGCCCATGGTCCTTATCCTTGTGGGAACAAATGATGTGGCTAGACCGCATCATGAAGGACTTCGAGGCCCTGGGGGCCAAGCTCGAGGAGACAGGGCCACAGGTGGTATTCTCTTCTATTCTCCTGGTAAGTAGATGCGGACAGTGACATGAGGCCTGCACTGGTGAGGTTAACCAGTGGCTATGGAGTTGGTGCTGCCAGGCTGGCCTCAGGTTGCTGGACAACAACCCACACTTTCATGCAGGGGGCATGTTTGGGTGGGATGGGCTACATCTCTCTGCTAAAGGCAAGCATGTCTTTTCTGCCAGGTTAGCTGATCTCATCTGGTGTACCTTAAGCCAGCTTCACTGGGGGATGGGGACACAGGAGGACATCTCCCAGCCAAGACTGGTGATGTGCACAAGGAGTACCCAGGTAAGTGACAAGGGTCTGGATAGCCCTAAGAATTGGGGGGTGGTTCATGCACCAATTCAAGGCCTTAAGTGCCTCTACACTAATGCTCATAGTATGGAAAATAAGCAGGAGGAACTTGCCCTCAGGATAGCTAGTACAAACCCAGACATAGTAGGGCTTACAGAAACATGGTGGGATTCATCCCATGACTGAGCGGTAAACATTAGGGGCTACAGACTATACAGGTGGGATAGAATGAGGAGGAAAGGCAGGGGTGTGGTGATCTCCATCAAAGAACAATACATGTCCTCATCTAAGAGGGGCCAGAGGAGGGGCAGGCTGAAGTGCTCTGGGTCAGAATTCAGTGGGGTCGTGGGGTAAGGGACTTAATGGTGGGTGTCTACTATGGACCACCCAACCAAGGGGAAGACCTGGACCGTGAATTCTTGGGTCAGCTTGCAGAGGCACTAAAGACAAAGGATGTAGTTGTCATGGGTGATCTAAATTACCCCGACATCTGCTGGGAGGAGTAGTCAGCCCCGTCAGACCACTCACAAAGGCTCCTTGCTGAGATACAGGACTGCCACTTAACCCAGGAGGTGCACAGTCCCACCAGGGGAATGCCCTCCTGGACCTGGTCCTGGCCACAGGCAATGACCTGGTGAGGGGACTGCGGGTTCTCTACCACCCTGGTGATAGCGTTCATCGCCTGCTGGAATTCACCATCCAGCGCAGGGTGACAAGGGCCTGCAGCAAGGCAGCAGCCCTTGACTTCAGGAGGGCCAACTTCAATGAGTTGAAGAGATTGGTAGGAGAGGCATTGTGGTCCCAGAGAGAAGGGGAACTAGGTGTCCAAGACGAGTGGTCATTCCTTACGGAGACGATCCTCTGAGCCCAAGGGATGACAGTCCCAACATGATTCAAAGGGGGCAAGAGTGCTCAAAAGCCCCCTTGGCTTGCAAAGGCATTCAGGAACACCTGAAAGCCAAAGAGGAGGTGTACACCCAGTGGAAGGGAGGGGCTATCACCAAAGAGGAATATACCCCCATAGCAAGAGGTTGTAGGGAGGCTGTTAGGAAAGCTAAGGCAGATATGGAACTAGGGCTAGCATCAAGGATCAAGGACAACAACAAGTCCTTTTTTAAATACATAGGGAGTACGAAGAAGCCACTGGGTAACGTGTGGCCCCTGCAGGATACGCTTGGCAATCTGGTGTTTGCACCAGAGGAAAAAGAAGACCTTTTTAACAATTTCTTTGCCTCCATTTTTTTTGTGCAGGGACTGGGACTCCCCAGTGAGATTCAGGACTGACTCAGGAGAGACTTTGCCAGGCCTAGGGTCAGGGAGGACTGAGTTAGGGAATTTCTGGAGGGGCTGGATGTGTTCAGATCAGCAGGTTCAGATGATCTCCACCCCAGGGTGCTGAGGGAATTGGCAGGGGTTATTGCGGGGCCCTTGGTACAGCTTTATGAGCACTTGTGGTGCTCTGGCCAGATGCCAGATGACTGGAAGGCCAATGTGGTCTCCATTTTTTTAAAAAAAGGGAGAAGGGATGACCCAGGCAACTGTAAGCCCGTTAGTCTTACTTTGATCCTGGGGAAGCTCTTGGAAGCTCCTGGGGAAATCTTTGAGAAGATTATCCAGGAGCACATCTGTGAAGGGCCAGCAAGGGGGATGATGCTCAGGGGAAACCAGCATGGGTTCATTAGGGGCAGGTTCTGTCGAACCAACCTGATTGCCTTCGAAGATCAGGTCACAAAATCATCGGACGCAGGTGTTGCGGTGGATGTTGTAGGCTGAGTAACCGGAGCTCTGCAGTGTGGCTCCATAATAAACTAAAGGAGCCCCGGTGCTCAAAGCAGGGCCCAGGAAAGGGTGTGAGGCCGGGGAACCAGGGCCAGTAAGGGCACCAAGCCATTGAGAGGAGCCAGAGGCACCTCCAGAGAAAGGCCCATGTTTCTGAAGTCCCTCAATGTGGTATGGTATCTTGATTGCAGATTGTATGTGGTGTCACATACTAATTTTACTGTAAATATTTAATGTTCCTTATTTAAATCTATTGTATCAATAAATTTGTATATAGTTAAGTGCTCAGTCTCGGCCTGGCTCTGTAGAGAGGAGAGGGAATGGTTCCCAGGTGGCAGGCCCCTCTCTCAGCACCCTGCCTGATCACTATCCCTTCCACTGGCAGACAGGGCACACCCCTGGGTGTACCCAGGCTACACAGGTTCAAACACACACATGCATGGTCATACTTATATTACATTTGCATAACTTTTTAACAGAAAAATGAACAATTTCTTGCTCCATTTTTATTGAAGTAGCTGGGAAAATGCCGCTGAAAGCAAAATAGGAACAATAAAAGTGCACTGTTGGTCAGGCAGCTGCAAAGCAAAGGGCACAGAGACTCAATGTGGTGCCTGACATTATCTGGAGTCCTGTGTCCAGTTTTGGGCACCCTACTACAGAAAGGATGTAAATAACCTGGAGAGAGTCTAGAGGAGGGGAATAACAATGGTTGGGAGGGCTGGGGGACATGAGTTATTAGGAAAGGCTGAGGGAACTGGGTTGATTTATTCTGGGGAATAGTAGAAGGAACAGGGATTTGATAGCAGCCTTGAACTCCCAGCAGGGGGGTTGCAAAGAGGATGGAGCTGGGCTGGTCTCATTGGGGGCAGATGACAGAGCAAGGAGCAATGGGCTCCAGTTCCAGCAAGGGGAGTTTAATTTGGATATTAAGGAAAACTCTCTCACTAGGAGGACAGTAAAATACTGGAACAGGCTCACCAGGGAGGTGGTGGGATCTTCATCCTTGGAGGTTTCTTAGACCTGGCTGGACAAAGCCTTGGTTGGGATGATGTAGCTGGGGTTGGTCCTGCTTGGAGCAGGGGGCTGGACTAGATGAGACCTCCTGAGGGCCCTTCCAACCCTCATTTTCTATGATTCAATGATTACTGATCCAGGGAGAACCTGACCTCCAGCTGGTAAAGTCTGAAGTACAAGCAAGGCTTAAGTGACTGGAGAACTATGTCCATTATTTTTAGCTCTCCCTGAGTAAAATTCACCCCCAGAGGTTGATACATTCTTCTCACAGGCACAGGCCCAAGCAGGCTTCCATCCATTTTATGTCTTATCTTGGTTTAAGTAGAGCCCAAGCCTCAAAAACCCATGAGAATCACTTTTTACAGGAAACTAATCTTCCTCAGCTACTGCACGCTGAAATCAGGATGTGGCGTCTGTGGGACACAGGTATAGAAAGCTCTTCCTGGGGCACTGAGCTGCAGGCAATTGCCAACCAAAACAATTCCCCAAATCATCATTCCAAATCCTTACTCACAGCTACAAGGCACAAAAGCTGAAACAGCTGAAGCAAGCTACACTATGCTAAAGGTAAAAGCAAGGGAGATGAGGACATTGCAAATGCCCTGACATTGCTACAATAGAGAAAAGTGGTAGTGGATAGTTCATTCTTGCTTGTAGCTGGAGCCGTATAATTTGCTGGTCTGCACAGCAGTTTTCCAGACTGAAATGACTTTCTTCATCTGCAGGTGTGGGCTCAAAGAGCCGATCAGATTTTCAATATACATGTCTTCTTTTTCCTCTTGTTCTAAATATGCTCTGAAGATCTCCACTATCCTATTTTAAGAGAAAACATAGGTTTAATGTCACAGAACAGAGGTTTGGAAAAGAACGTGGTGCACAGAAGACAAGACAGGACTGGCCTCACCTCATCTCAGATGCAGGATTTTAAGAGAAAACATAGGTTTAATGTCACAGAACAGAGGTTTGGAAAAGAACGTGGTGCACAGAAGACGACAGGACTGGCCTCACCTCATCTTAGATGCAGGGAGACCTGGGACCTGCTCTGTGATGTCAAGGATATTTAGGATTTTCCACTTAATGAGTGTCTCATGTAAAGTATGTAAAGGGCCCTGGCAACAGGGAGCAGAACTCAGGACTCTCTGCTTCTAGCTGTGCCCATTTCACCGTCACACCCCTCTTGTTTGCTCCCCTTCTGGATCAATGACTATGCTCTTGGCTAATAGCTTAGTTTCAAAGTGAGGGGAAAGAATACACCTACCTAGTCTAGTTTGTCAAGTGGCAGTCAGGGTACCCTGCTGGGAAGCTGGAAATTTGGGTTTGAGGACTCTTTGGACGACTATGGCCTAGATTCTGGGTCTCCCCTTATTTGGCAGGGGATGCCCTAGACCCCTGGGCTACTAGTGATGCCTGTTGATTATCTCCAGGTACCTTGGGGGCTTTCTCAATTGTGCTCTGGAGTTGCCTACATCCTCTTTTTCGGAGTAAAAGTGCCTAGGTACCTAAACATACATTGCATTTCAGAGGCACTTAAGTCTATCCACTGTGGGACAATAGGTTGTCCGAAGAGCTTAAACCAGGGCAAACAACAGCTGTCCTGAGGCCAGGTGCCTGACACTTGAACTCTCTAATGTCTGACTGTAGTTGTACACAGAACCAAGGGGAATTTGGGCCTGACACAAAGACTGTAAGAACCTCTTATATGTTTTACTGATTGGGGCTTCATTGGTACTAAGGGTTTCCCTAAACTGCCGCTCCTGGAAGGGGATGCTGATATGAATGGTGAGAGATTATTCTGTATAGTCCTAAATGGAGGTGTTCAGGTCACATCCGTGTGACTGTACCAGGGCTACAATGCTGTGCCCCATGCCATGGAACATGGGAACTGCCAGAAGGGGGGTGAGACCAAGAAGGGGCTGGAGAAGATGCTTCAGAGGATGGTGTAAGAAATCTGCAGAAGAATAATCTACCTTCTACAAGAGATCTCATCCTGGTCTCTAATTACTAGAGATGATCTTAAAGTTGAAAGAATTTCTAACTCTTAGGTTTATGGGCTAAGTATGATCTTTATGCCAAAATACTTCCTTTGGGTTTGCCTTTCCAATTGAATGCCTCCTCCCAAAACCTCTACCCCCTATTCTTGAATTGGGACAAATAGAAAATACAGGAAACCCTTGCTGTTCATGGGTTCAGCATTCATGGTTTCAAATATTCGTGAATGCCAAACTCACAGTTTAAATACACTTTATACACTCACCAGAGCTCCTCAGGAGCTCCGCACTTCCTGCTGCCGGGCTTCTGCTGCTGGAGCAGTGCCCTGCCCCCCAGCCACTGAGGGCACTGCGTTCATGAACGCAGTGCCTTATTCGTGCATTTTGCCATTCATGGGGTATACGAGAATGTATCCCCTACGAATGGCGAGGGTCACCTGTAGTTTCTTGGTCTCCTCCATTTAATATCAATTAAATAGTGACTTGCCCAAAACCACCCGTTTTTAGTCATCTTTGTACATTTCTGAAGAGCTGTGCTTAAAATACTCCATCATCTGAACTCACATTTTTGATTTAAAGTGTCTGGGTATTGGGCAGGGAAATTTAGCACATTGAATTTATGACCCCTATTTTTTCTGAGCACTTGTAAAATAATATTTCAGGTAAAAAAAATTCCCACATCCACAACAGTGGACTGTAAATCAACATGCATCAAAGCATGCTGAGAGTGCATGCTGCAAGGATCAGGCAGCAGCCAACCAGGTTATTCACCCAGATCTACATTTTCCTACTGAGAAAAAAAAGGCACATTTGAAAAGAGAAGAAATTCATTCTCACTCCCACTCCGGTTCGTAGTCAGCTAAAGTCACCACAATCATTTCATGCAGGTCAGTGATGAAGAAATCAATGCTGATGGTGGATAAAGCCTTTTTTAGATCCTCTCTCTCTGTAACCTCCAGCTCCTCTTGGTATCTCTTGTCCACCAGGAAAAAGGGATTCTGAAATGAAAAACAGGTCAGGAGTGGACACAGTGACACATGTATTGCAGATGGACCCCCGTGTCAGCTGGTGGAAGAGGTTTTGTCTGATGGAGGATAATCTTCACTTGGTTCAAAACTCAAAACTGGTGTCCCCCTCTAACAGTGGGAGCCAACTTTTTTTGGCAGGAGTGCCACGTATTACACCTGCACCTTTCTAGGTGCCATTCTGATCCCCTCTCCTGCTTGATCTGCTGCTCTGCTGTCTGCTTCCTTCACTGTCCTTCCTGCCCAATTTTTTGTTTTGCTTTTCATCCCTGCTGCTCTGCTACCTGTCCCCTCCCGGATCAGCACTATACCCCACACCTACCCTATAGCATTGCCTCCCACTGTGGCAACCTTTCATCACCATCAATGATGCACCATCAATGAGATGGGAAGTGATCCCTAGCCCAATCTATGGTCCCTGTAGCCATGCTACATTCAGACAGGGGTACAATTTGGCAGCCACTACTGTGAGTGAGAAATCCAATTCAGGATCCCCTTTGCTCACGCTACATAGGGAGGGAGTTAGAAAAGGCACCCTAAACCTAGCTGTCTTATCTGCTTCTGGCTGTATGAGCATATCCAGTGGGAGCTCTCTGTGGCTGAAAATATCATGAGAAGTCATCATAGGAAGACCTCGTAAAAAAAGAGCTGCCATGATTTCCAGGGAACTAGTGAGATACAACATGAATTTGCAGCTCTCAGTGAGGGACAATGACTGGACAAGTATCCACTGAAGGTAGAGGGTGGAAGCTACAACTTCTGGAAGGGAAAATAGGACCAGGACCCATGTATTCATGGGGTCACTTTTGCCATCAAGAATTAGCTTGTTAGTGAACTAACAGAACACCCTGTGGGTATCAATCCATATCTTATGCATATCTTATGACCCACTTTAAGCTGAGCAACAACCAGAGTATGCCACGGTCATCAGAGAATACACCCTGACACCTGATGCCGACAATGATGTCAGAGAACAATTCTAGTCCAACCTTGATCATGCTCTGAGTAATACTCCCAAGGAAGACGAGTTCATTTCCCTCAGTGATGTCAACACCACAGTCAGGAATGACCTGGACCTCTGAAATGGCACCTGTGCAAAGTAAGGTATGGGGAAAGCCAACTCAAATGATTTCCTTCTCTTAAGTAAATGCACAGAGCATTGTCTTGTCATTACACACACCATCTTCAGACAGAGTAACCAAGCCTGGTGTGCCTTGGCAAAGGTTATCTTGAATGGTCAGCCCAGTCACCTCATCTCAGATGTGAAAAACCTGGAAATGCCACTGTGAAGCTGAAGCAGGGATACACCTCCTCTCCCACAGATATTCTGAAAACGCTCAGAGGCTGCCACTGAGAGCGCCCTCAGAGTAGCTTCACCGATTCACTTCTGGGATTGGTGCAAACCTCCCGATATAAGCAATCAGGTGCAAGCAACCAGGTGTAATTGGGCAGGGCTAGACCAGCATCTCCCTTCTGGGGCCACATCGAAGACCCAGCACAGACATGATCCCGAAGAGCGACAAGCCATCTCAGGTTGCACTTTGCATGTGAAAGAGGGTAAAGCAGGAAAAAATAAATGAAGAGGAGCTAACTGGAAAATGCTCCTTGTTGAATGCGAGGGCTATTCCACAGAACAAAGCAAAACATTCAGGTCAGCTGGGCATTTTGACTGGGCTTTGCCAGTACCCCTGCTGGCTCTTAAAGCTGGAGGTTCCTTGGCTAGAGGATCTTGCCTCTTCTCTCAGGGTCAAATCAATCACCATTTTTTGGGATCAGGCTGGAATTTGACCCCATGGTTAGCTGTGCAATGAGAATGGAAAACAGGGGGTTTTGCCTTCCTCTGTATGTGCGGGGTGGGAGATGGATTGCCATCTTCCTTATCTCTCTCAAATGATTTTTAACAACCCTTGTAGCAGCACAACATTGGCCACCATGGTTCCCCTGGATTACCTGTGTCAGGTTATGGTATTATGTCTTGGGTTATATCAGGGACTGTGTAGATGGGCTAAGAGGTAAGAAAATGGATTTGTATGGTATTGTTTTGCTAGCGATGATCCTGCCTTAGGCCTGGGGATGGTCTAGATGACCTCTCAAGGTCCCTTCCAGCCCCACTTCTCTATGATTCTAGGAAAACTGATTAATTGTACTGCTGACTTGCTGCATGGCTTTGACAGGGGTTAGTCCTGCTATCAGGGAAGTGCCCATTGCTGTCCTTGATTTTTCACACACAAACCTCTGTGAAATAATGAACGGACACAGTGTGTAGTGACTGGATCTTTGTTGAGTGCACTTGCTTCCAGACATTTCTTGCATTGTGCTCAAAATCATTTTCTGTCAAAACACACGGAACTTCCTAGAAGCTTACTTATTTCAACGGCAGAGTCAGCCCTCTTACAACTCCTAGTCCAGGTTTCCTGCAGATTTTAACACTTGTGCAACATGGCTGTGATCTGGCTCAGTTGCAAGACACCAAGAAGAACCCACTTTTTCAGTTTTTTTCACTGAAAATCTTGCAGGTTTTGTGTATTCACTCAGATTAACATCACCATTAGATAGTTGATGACTTCCAACTTGCTAACAACCAGATTTCCAATGACAACCAGTGTTGGCAGAAATATTCCAGCTGGCCCTTGTCATTACCCTCCCTCCTCCTCCCTGCTTACATTTTCCTGGAGAAAGCAATTTCCTCTGTTACCTGATTCATCTGCACAAGCAGCACTGATCTCCTCACTGACAGGACTTGCCACAGAGACAGGATGTGCTTCAGCTGTGTTTGCGGCACCACCTGGGGGATGAAAGCACAGGCAGGGACTTAGCTGGACTTGGGGACCTACAGGGATTCCCATTACACAGAGTTGAGCATGCTCTTCAATACCTGCAAATACACCACTCCCTGGTGAATAGAGCCTGGGCAAAGTCTGGCTTGAAGAGCTAAAGTGTAAGGGTCATGCTGGTCTCTTTCTGACTGTTGGCTGACATTGTGGCCAGGCTAATTTTTCATGCTTATTTTGATTAATAATGCTGTGATACTTAGGCTCTCCCTCTCCCCATACCCTCCGCAGTATACTACTATGCGAGTACACTTCCTGGAAAAATAATCCCTGGGTAACATTTTCTAAAAGTGATTAAATGAGTGAGGAGCAAAGATCCACTTTCTAAAGGGACTGGAATGAAATATGGACTTAGGTGGCCTAACAGTAGGGCTGTGCAAGTCTTTGGATCCTGCTTCAGATCCGGAGCTGCTTTGGATGCTTCGGCATCCGAAGCGGCACATCCAGATTGAAGTGGGGTCCCAGCAATGGTATCCAGAGTGGGTCAGGGGCATCCGAAGCACTTCAGATCCACTTTGGATGCTTTGGACCCGCTTCTGCCATTTTGAGGCAATTAGAAGAGGGAGGGAGAGCGGGGGAGGGATGAAGAGTGGGAGGGGGGAGGGAGGGGGAGCTCCAATGGCAGCGTCTGTGGGGTGGGACTAAAGAAAGCATAAAAGCCTGTTTCCAGCCCTTCTGTGTCTTTGCAGCTTGTTCCCTGTCAGCCACTGTGTGAGAGAGGAACTACTGACACTGAGACCTGCCTGCTCCTTTTTCTTATTATGAAGCAGTGGTTAGGATTTAGCTTAGGTTAGTTTAATTTAGCTTAGCCATTCAATTAAATTATTATTAGAATTATAATTCAATTTATTTCTTTTAATTTATATTTGCTCTTTTTTTGGAATCTTTGCAAAAAGAAAGTTAGGTTTTCCCAGCCAGTGTTATCTATCACTGTGAAGGGAGGCACAGATTGCTTGTACGCACGCACCGTGGACGTATACACATACACAGAGACCCAGAATATAGAAAAAAAAATCACAGAGGAAGAAGACAGACAGATATTTACAGCAGAACAAGACACACAGATAATATATTGACAGCACAAGAAGACACACAGATAGTTACAGAAGAACAAGACACAGACCATATATTGAGACACATGAAGACCCACAGATAATATTATTCACAGCAGAAGTCAGACAATATATTTAGACACACAAAGACACACAGATAATATTATTCACAGCAGAAGACAGACAATATATTGAGACACATGAAGACAGATAATATTCACAGCAGAAGACAGACAATATATTGAGACACATGAAGACACAGATAATATTCACAGCAGAAGACAGACAATATATTGAGATATATGAAGACATGCAGATAATATTATTCACAACAGAAGAAGAGAAACAATATATTGATACACACAAAGGTACACAGATAATATTAGTCACAGCAGAAGGCAGACAACATATTGAGACACACGAAGACACACAGATAATATTATTCACAGCAGAACAAGACACAGATATTCACAGGAGAACAAGACAGACAGATACACAAAAGGATTCACAGAGAGAGAGAGATCTTTTGCAGCACAGGAAAGATCAATATGAAGTGTGCTGGAAAGGCAGGTGCCAGGTCTTCTGGCAGGGGAGAGAGAGGGGGTAGAGGGAGAGCTAGAGCTGCCAGCCCCTCCCCTCGTCCCAAACACAGACGCATTCTATTCCTGAGCAGCCATGACATAGGTGCTGCCAGTGGAAGGGAGGTGGTGGGATCAGTGTCTGCACCTGATGTCCCTGCACCTGCACCACCTCCACTCAGTCCAGAAGTGGGCACCAGCAGTGGAATCACTGTCTCCTCCACCCCAATTTCAGCTCTCAGCATGAGCCTCCCACTGCCGGAGGAGGAGCTGAGGCTGGAACCACGGATGCTGAGCATGCTGGCTCAGGCAATTCTGGGGACTGAGGGGGAATCAGAGTTTGTGCTCCACACCCCTCAAGTTTCCCTTAGACCCAGGTCTCCTCCAGAAAGCAGCACCTTGGAGGAGGCTGAGGTAGTGGAGGCAAGTGGCTCAGCTGAGGAAGCTCCTCCTACTGTTTAGCCTCAGCCTGCGGAGAAGGGGGAAGGCAGGATCCTCACCCTCAACCCAGAAGCAGGGGAGTAGTGTAGTGTGGGAGCATTTTGAGGTGGCAGATGATGCCAGGTTTGCCATCTGCCAGCACTGCCAAAGGCACATGAGCTGTGGCAAGGACATGAAAGACTTCTCCACCACAGTCATGCTGCTGCATCTAAGGCACCACCCCCTTCCTCTTCTTCCTGCTGTTCAGCCTGGCACCAGTGTAAGTGTGCTGAAAAGGAAGTCCCCCACTCACTCCAAAGCCCCTTTCCCCACCAAGCGGAGGCAGTCCACCCTGGACCAGTGTGGGAAAGGTGGACAGAAAGAGGGGCATGTTCCCAAGGTGTGCGAGATCACCCAGAGCATTGAGGAGATGCTTTCTCTGTATAGCCAGCCCTTCTCCCTAGTTGAGCAGCCAGGGTTCAGTTGGTTCATAGCACTTCTGGCCCCATTTTACAAAGTGCCCACATGCAGCACCTTTAGCAGGGAGGTGGTGCCTTCCTTGTATGAGGCATGTAGGGAGTCCTTGAGGGAGGAGCTGCACAAGGCAGGGCTGCAGATAGGTTTGCAATGTGATTTGTACATTCATACAAGCACCTAACCTCATCACCAGAACTGAAGGCAACATTATACAGCTCAAAACACAAAACCCGCCCACTATCTCCAGTACCCCCACAAACTGCACACCAGGATCTATCAAAGACAACAAAACCCAGCTACCTGTGGGGCCACGTTCCTCACCAAAAAACCACTCTGCCCCCAGCCTCTCAGGCCTGATCCTGAGAAGGAACAAATTACAATCAATGCAAACCACTTTTCAGAGCTGGGCCTATGAACTGCACTTCAGCACTTCAGCAGCCTCCTGGGTAGTAGGTACAGAAAATCACGGACTCAATATAGTCAGTGGAGTTCTGGCACACTATGACCAACCAGACATCTGACACCCCAGACACCTCTGCACTTTTACTTTTACCTGAGCTGCTATATCCCCTTTCCCCCCCTGCTCCCCACCCTAGCATATCCCTCCCCGCCTGATGCCTCCATTTCCATTGTCTGTCTTTTTCTAAAGGAATTGACAGCAACATGTAAAGATGTTGTATTGTGTTGGACATACGATGTTATTCATGGTGTATGAAGCCTAGCTCCACTATTTTCCCCCTGAAGATCCCTATCTGACCATGGCCATCACCTGTGGGGCATGTGAAACCTGTCCCTCCCCAGCCAGCTCCTCAGTTTGTGACAGTAAATACCTAAATGTCTCATGCTGGTTTTGGACAGAGCCATCCAGGACTGCACACTGGTGAGTACTACGTTCCCTGTTGGGCCTGGCCTTGTAGATAGTTTTAGGGCAGGTGGAGCTACCAGTTCTCCTCCTTCTCACTATAAAGCCCAGGAGAAGAGGCTCTCAGGGGCCACGTCTATATGAGACAGAAGCTCATTACTACTGTGCAGTAGCATTGCATGGCATAAAGTGTCATGCAATGCTACAGCACAGTAGTAATGAGCTACTGCCCAGTTAGCATCACCTAAAAGCCATTTGGTGATGCTGCTATTCAGTAACTCCAGTTAGTGCACAGTCTCTTAGCACTTGGGTATACAAGTCCTAAATGGCTGCACAGTAACAATTGCATAGTCAGAATCTGGTGTAGATGTGGCCAGGGAGACTTGAGCTCACATCCCTTTGCAGACTAATGGTCAGGAGATTCCTACCCACACCCTGAGGAGAGGACCCCAGGCACCAGGCTGTGGGCTGCTGGGGGAGGGATTACATGAAAACACTTATTTTGGAGGTGTTCTCCTTTCTATAAATAATGAAGTGTTTCTGCAGCAGAGAAGAAGGGAGAGAGACCCAACTGCCTACTGGTTAGGGCACCCTGAGGGAGAGGACAAGTATGGGTTCCAGCACCTGCATCAATGAGTATTTGAATATTTTATACAAAGTGTAACAGCTTCAACATGAGGTGCTGAGAAATGCAGCTCCCCAAGAGAACTGGATAAGTACTGGGGTGTGGCTGAGGGGGATGCGAGTTTAAGTCTCCTCACACGGAAAAAGGAATTGAACCTGGGACTTGCACAATGTGGGGAGACTGCTCTAAACATGAGACTCTTGAATAAAAGCAAGAACCATGGGTTTCACATGAGGTTATATTCTTGAGGAGGAGTCACCTGAGGTGCATAGAGAACTCAGACCACAAAAGGATACCTGTCCCAGTCCCAAATATATCCTTGGTACCTCCTACTGGCTAGCTCCTTCAGATACCCATTCAGCTTTTTGGCTTCTGTGGAGCATTCTCTGAGGCTCTCGAGACTTGAAAAGTACTGAAGCACACACAAGTCTTTTAGGGTGCATACACACATGCTAACTTTCTGATGGTTAAACTGACTTAGCTTCTTTAAGTCAACTTAACTGTTGGAGTGTACACACATGTGGAGCAGAGTCGACCTAAATGCGGTGCAAGATAATGCACCTCTGAGGTATATTATCTTGGGTCGTGTTAGTTAAGTTAACTTAGCTTACAAGGTGGCTGCCACCATGTCAAGGAGTTGTACGTGTGTGCTCCGACATTGCTTAATTTAAAATGACTTAGTTAAATCACCATATTTTAAGTTGACTTAGTACTTGTGTACACACCCTTAGTGCCCAGATACTTAAGGCTGTTTAAGCACCTAATTCCCTTGAGCTGGAACATCCTTTCCAAGGATGTAGGCATCAAGTGGGATTTTCTACAGCATCTCTGCAGGTTAGATGATGCACTCTTATTGATTTTAAGTGGGGATTATTCACATAAATACCTTTAAAAATCTGGCTTTAGTTCCCAGCCTGCATCTTTTGTCACCTAAACAACG